CCCAGGGGTGAACAGTGCTCCTGAACAGAACAGTCCTCAGAGATGTGTGAAAGGCTCCTACCTCCCCCAGGAGTAAAGAAACGAGAATGAGGGACACTCTCCAGGTGTAGACAAACCAGGAAACCGTGTCATCTTCCAAGCTGAACTCCCATCTGTATTGTGTGTGGGCCGAAGGGCTCAACCCAGCTTCCAGCTGAAGCGGTGCCCGCGACTGGTCCCACCAGGCTGGCCCCTCTGTACTTTGTGCATTGCTGCTGCTCAAGCAGGCTGGAGCAGGGCAAGTGCAAGGTTACCTGGGATGTGTAACTGCTATAATCGCTGCCAGCAGCTTGCCTGCAGATCCTACAACCTTGGCAATTTGCCTGCATCCCCAAGCTCACGGCTCTGTGTCTGCTGAGCAGCCTGTTCCTGCAGGACAGGGGGTCTTGGGGACCTGCCAACAGGTCTGGGGGAGCAGCAACATTTGCTGCTGGGGCCATGTTTAGTACCAGCTTTAGGTGGTGAAGCTCCCAGCTCCCAGCACTGTGTCTTTGCCCCTGTCCCAAGGGAACCCAGTGGCAGACAAGCCACAGTGCCCACAGAATCTGCACAAATTCATCCTGGGTCCTGCCTAAGGTTGAGCTGCTTGTGGGCTTGCCTGGCTGTCCAGTGTGGCTGGCTTTCTCTGGGCAGGATAAGCTGTGGTCCACGGAGAACAACTCTGAGCTTATGTTGAAAGGCAGCCAGGGAGGCAAGGTGGCATGCAAAGGATCTCAGGGAACTGATAGTCACAAGGGATGGAGCTAGCTCCATCAGGCCAGTGCTGTTGCTAATGTGCTCTAAGACCATTTCAAAGTGCTCTGTGTAGATCTGTCTGCCCCAGGTGTGGATAAAGCACTGGGTGCAGGAGCCACGAGAGATGCCAGGAAAGGCTAAGCTCCCCCTGGTCCATCTGTGCTCCACTCTGTGGCAAGGTCTGCGGTATAGTTTGCATCCTGCTTGATGGACCTGCTGGCTGCTGAGGGTGCTTCACGTGTGCATTGCCTGTGGTTTCTGCCGCACCTGTGGGGCCTGGGGCCAAACAGCACGGGGAGATGGTGCAGAGCTGCCTGCCTTGGCTGCTGGAACAGTTGGTTGGTGTCTTAGATGGCCTGTGTGCCCTTAGCAAACCCAACAGCCTTCAGCCACCAGCTCTCAGAAAATATCCCTTTGCTAACACCATGCAGGAGCTGTGCCTCTGTGCTCCGTGTGTGCCCAGAGGACAACCGGGAGCTGAGCCACTGTAGGTCCTGCTGGGAGGCCTCTGGGGCCGGGAGGAAA